ACCTGAGGTGAGTATAGCGACCTCAGTAAGTTAGCGTACTTCTGAGGCATTCCTTCAGGAAGAAGGGAACTCATCTGATTTCTGTTAGCTAGTGAATGGGTTTGAATCTGATCTTACTATTCAGGTGAAATGCTGTTACTTCTTTCACTATTTGTACCATTGTTAATTATATTATCAAGTGTACATTTCAATGTCAGAAATACGTAAGCAATCACATTCGATTCAAAGGAATCGGTTTTATTCGAGAGAATCTCGGCATCGATGGAATTTACTCATTGAGTTATTGTGGGCTTAGATTGACTCCACTCATACAAAGAATCATGCTTACATTCACGTCTAGTGACCGACTTATCACTCCATCCTGATGTGATTCGCTTCCTTACCCGACCGATAGAGGTCAATTAACTTCGGGTCTGTTCATTCGTATCTATGATGCACACTCGATCAACGATCACGAACATAACGTTCCCGGGTGAGAAGGGGGTTTTTGTTTGTGTGGGGGGGGGCGGTGGGAGAACAGCCCACCTTAACCCACCCACCTCGAAACATTCAACTTCGCTTGGTAACTCACTAAAAACGTACTTTTGTTCGTTTGCGGGGAAGTGAGTTCATTCAGACTGGACGGGGTTTAGACAGACCCGGTCCAATGGATGGCATTTGACGGTCGAAACACCAATAATCTTGTGGGATTTCCAATGGATTGCGATTGGTTGGATTCACTTGATGTTGAAGAGGTGTTATCGTGACAGTTGAGCATTTCCCATTAATTTTCATTTCAGTTCGTAGTTACTTGTGAGTAGTATAGTGATTAAATGTTATCGGTTCAAGGTTGGTCATGCGTCGAGTGTGAACTTTACGCACAGATTTATGCGATCAACCGTGCACTGCGCATGCTCTGTGGGGTAGAAATTTCTGCTGATATCCCATGGCTAGTGCATTTTTGCTGACATATCGTGAGAAACCATGTGATCAGTTCGGGTGGGGTCAGGGATGGGTGATTACTTTTGGCATCCATTTTGACCGTATTTACCCACCTCGAATTTTTAAATGTTGTCAAGATATTTTTGCATATTATACTTGGTGGTTGTTTCTTGTTTTTCGAATAGATACAATTTTAAACTCCAGTTTCTATAGGAATGACTCGATTTCAACAACTCTCTCCAGTGGTTCAGTGTTCAGTGTACACTCACCGTTTTTCAGTCTTCATTCATGACTCTTTAACATGGATAGTAATTGGTTTACGAAATAGCACAAGGACACGTCCTAAAAATCGGTTAGTAAACTGAACCGGTTGGCAGATCATATATTCAGATTTCCCGAGCACAGTCAATAAGTGCTAACTATCAGTACATTCGTCGATGGTGGATGAAGGGTTGGGGGTGGGGTCAAGACACGCATCATTCGGATTTTTATTGGAGTCGTTACGTGATCGGATAGGCCAATGAGCCAATCAGTCTCTGGTGTCGTTTGATAGTGAGTTGCCTATGTCCCCACCTTCGAAAATCTCGGTGTATTTGTTAGTAACTGGTTAACCGCATACCTCAGTTGCTGGGACTTATCTTTGTTCTAATCTGTGTACAAATTGATACCCAGGCCTCTGAATTCGTCGGTCTGGGCTTGGTGTCTTGGATTGAGGTTGGTTACTCTTTCCTTGTACCTCGCCAAATGACCACCGTCTCCGCCACGACCAAGCGTCTGAAAAAAACTTCTGCTCAAGAAACCCTAATCACTGTTTTCTCATGGCCCTGAGTGTTTCTCCAATAAATCGATATAATGAGAAGCCAACATCTGGGACCATAACCCAGTTGGTTAACCAAAGGCAGTTGACCAAGAGGAGTAGGCAGAACCCTGATTCCAAACCAACCAAGAAGAGACGTACCAATAGTGGCTCTGACATTGGTCGCCGACTCTTTAATGTGGGATCTGGAAATTTAACGCGTTACTTAAGGCGAATTATCTTGACGAACTGTACACTGGCTCCCAATCGGTCGCAGTTTTTTCCACAGTATCGACTGTGTTCTGGATCATGCATCCGCTTGCCGAATGCTCTAGTTGCGAATTCCCTGATAAACAACCTGTTTTGATCCGAGCATCCTGGCCACATACCTTCCTCGAACAAACCATGAACTGATTTCTTCATCACAAAGATCGTTATATCTTGTTTTGAATGTTATAATGTTAATAACACATCGATGTCGGTAGAGAATTATACTCGCCGACGTTTCGGTTACCGCGGGTAACCTTCTTCAAGGCAGGTTTTCAATCGTTGTACCTTGATTTATTTGGCACGCCATATCAGCTATCTATGTATGATCAGTAGTTATGGTGGCAGTTCATGCGCTTTATCATGGGACATTCGATCAGTCTCCCTTAAGCGAGCCAGTTGATGGTTTCCCTATCAACCTAGCTCTGTAAGTGTGAGGGTTTGGTTTCTCACACTTTCACCCAGGTGAAAATACACCTACCGTAAGAAGGCAACTAGTAGGATTTCCCAAACATAGACGGTAGATTCAAATCAGTAGACATTACTTTAAAAGAATCCAGGAACAAGACAATCTGTTTTTATTTTAAACGCTCACCATCGACTTTACTGAGGCGTTTGGGACGGTAAATTATCGATATGATTAGATACATCTTTGCGTGCTAGCCACTTCATAATTATTTGCAATTCGGTTGTAAGGGGGTCACTCTTGACTTATTCTGTTTTTTCTCATCCACAGAATCGCATCTCCTCACTGCTTGCAGATTGGCGTACGCGACAAAATCTGGGCATTAGTATGGAGGATTATCGTGCCGCATACGGTTGCATGGCACCCTGTTTGCACACAGCTAGTCGCAATTCAACGGCCACGAATAATAATTCCAACTTGAACAATCAATCCGCACAGTCCACGACCGCGGCTGCTCACACAACAAATAGCACCGCCGGAACCACTGCATCAGTCTCTACCATCACATTGACAGCATCAGTTGGATCTGGTCAACAATCGATCTCGTCCACCGTGNGACCAATCACAAAGTCATTGCTCACACATTCCAGTATGCCGACGACCGTGGGACAAAACTCAGCCAAAGCGGAGGAGCATGGTAGTCGACTGCTAACCACAAGCTCAACACTGTCTTTACCAGGGCCCCGCTAGATGGGTAATAATAACACTGTTAACGTCCCTTGATGGAGATAATGTGTGGGCGATACTCATGTTTTTATTTTATACCGGTATATTTGTGTTTTAGGAGCAAATTGAAACACTGATTCGTAAGATAATAGTGAAAATTGTAGTCGTGCCTAACTGATTGTATCTAGCATTTGCGGGCGAGAAACCATTTTGTGTTAGAAACGATGTGCAAATAAATGGTTGTAGCTCGGGTTACGGATGCTGGTGTTTGTGAGTTCTCCGAGCTGGAATTGTGTTGTTCGCAGACGTTTCGTAGCCAAGCTAGGCTTGATCATCAGTGTGACTTGGACTGGTGATGTTGCCTGGCTTGGTTACGAAACATCTGTGAATAACACTTCCATCTAAGAGAACTCATCCGTCCCCGGAAACCGGTTTCCCCGGAGAAATGACCACACATACTCTCCTTAGCACTCCCAAACTTATCGACTGATAATTTGGGAGTGTGTTCACGGAATTTCTGTACGGTTTACTCTACTGAAAACACTAGTGTAACAATTTAATCAGCAGCCACTTTGGGCAGCTTGACGAGACTATCTATATACGCTTCCTCAGGCCGCGTTGTGCATGTTGGCTATACGAACATGCTTAAATGCTGTCCGATTGGTTTGTCTAGGCGGATTTGCGAAGCTGGCTTCGGAGGAGGCCACATCTTTTTATTATTATTACACACGTTAATCTGATGAATAGCCGACTGGGTGAACTCCATAGTTACCAGGACCTCCGGTTCACTCTTGGAGCGGCGAACCACATAAAGTCCCGATATGTTAGGCGTGGTATTGAACCGAACGACAGCAAAGTTGCCTACCGCCAATTCTTCTATCATTTCACTTTGGTGAGAGCTGTTCCGACCGGGCATGAAGACAATACGTGTTCCTATCCTCACACAGGGACTGGACTGGATGCCAATATTTTCTTGGAAGCGTCTTTTTGATAAATGCAGGCCAGCTTGCTTTTTGTTGTACACAGGTTGTTTTGTTTTCAAAGTGCATCACTGTTACATTTGAAGCAGTAGAGACACAGATGTGCCTCTGCTGATCTCAATAGCGATAACTATGATGGATTCACATGATGAGCTGTTGTTTTCAGTCCTTACTCTTGGGACAATCGCCTGTCGCATAATTCCCACCTACATGTTTCTTTTTATTCAAGGTCACACATACCAACATCAGTTTTGTATTTCTCACCAGATCTTACACTACTCAGTCGTTGGGGATACGAAAGTAAATCGATTGTGGTATTCAAGAAACAGGGGAGTAAAGCAAAAAGAAAACAATACATGGAAGAATAATTAGAAATATTCAAAACCACTCTCTTCCGGATTGGTAGGTGTATATCGGGGTTTAGATTGTGTCAAACAAATTTTTGGTACACTCATGTCTACAACAAATATATCAATTAACGACGGACACGCGGAAGCGGTACTGTTAGGTTATCCAAACCAAACCAAATCAGATCCTTTTCTAGAGAATTAGAGCCTTCGATTGACCAGTACGTGTCTCGCAGACGAGTGAGTTAATTTTTTGGAAACCGTAATCCATTGGAAACAAATGTTTTTTCATCAGCTGGATCGTGCTCCTTTCGAGTATGGTTTACTGTTTCTTTTTTTACCAATATCCCATCATTTTCGTTCAGAAAATTTAGCTCAACGGGCCGTAGGAGCAATAGAGTATAAACGAGGCGCATCATATACCTGCCAGCGTATGACAGCGCGTTATTGGCTATGTTATGGGTACAGACGCAAAATAAACTGTGCTTTTTGTGTAGTCCTGTGCCTTTTTTATTTTATTTTATTTATTTATTTGCTAGCGATTTTCAAGAAGGTTGGGGGCAACCATTTTAAAGGATTATTTTGTGACGAAGAGGAAAGAGAACAGTTAAGCGGTAGTAGCCACTGGAGTACTCGTGTAAGCGCGACGCTTAGTATGATCTGACTCTCCAAACACCTTGATGAATATAAAATGATAAACAACTACTGATCGATGAGCAATTGTGTGCTCTTGTAAACGCATGTACTTATTCCGTGTTGCTAGATGAAGTTTAAACAATCACCTGATACGGGATCAACCGAGTGACTACTGTTGGATGAAAATTTTGTGAAGGATATTGTCACAATGACTGAAGTGCTCTGTAAGAAAAAACAAACAAATGTAACCGAATCAGGGCATGTTATTCCCTCTGATACATCACCGGCAATTTGTCAATCCTGAAGACGTGAACCGACAGAAACATCACCATAGCAAATGGAATAGAACGCAAACGTCTACAAAGCAAGGGAGACCAGATTGGGGAATATACCGACATCTTAATTGTGACTCGTATAAACAGGCACTATATATTTTAAAGTTTATCCATGTGTCATCATCATCCTCATCGCACAGCGAAATACAGTGAAGCGAACTTCACTGATCGCTGTCAAACTCGCAATGTATATAGGTTTAGTAATATCAGGGTAATTCATATTGCGAATTGTACAACCGCACTGATCATCAATGGGCAACTTAGAGCTCTAAGCATTCAGTTGATCAGAAGAGAAAAAGTTGTTATCACATTTAGAAATACCAGTGGATAACGAAGAGGATGGAGACTAATACAAAAATCGAACGATAAGGGAACTGGAAGAAAAGGCAGTTCAGAAATTTACCTACAGACCAGGAACCAACCACGACGTCCTCGTCGTTATTGGTCGTTAACTGTTCTAAATAATCCCATGATAGCATTGAGAAAACGAGTCCGTGAGCGAACAATTGTTTTCGGATATTCCTAGTCATGCTCTTACATATCATATAGAGGAAAAAAATTCTTACATAATCATAGCCATTGACTCATTTTAAAGTCAATATTCGGAGGTAGAGAGTAATGGGAGTGTGTGTGTGTATAGGAAAGTTTAACGTGTTAGTTGATGTGACCTTTCCCCACTTGGGTCAAGTGACACGTCATGTTCCGTCTTGGTTTTCACACACGGCCAAGGCATTTGGAGCGCGTGCACCAATCGCTTTTGGCCACACAGGTCGGGCCTAGTAAGCGAATGGCGATTGCCTCGGCCATAGCTAGTGTTTTACGTCAGCGATTGAGAAGATTAAACGAAATGTTAACATCTCGCGACATATGTCTTCTTTCGGCTTTGATGCGATGGATAAAAGGGACCCAGTGTTTCAAGTTTCCGTAGCTAGTGTCCAAACTCAGACCGCCCTTGAGCGATTGATTGGGATGCGATAAACCACATCAACAGCTTTCTCCGCATCGATCCTGTGGCCGGTGTCGACGAGATGCCCCACAATGGCGCTTGAGATGCAGCCGGTTTTTCCCTGACTCAACCATCGCGGGTGGTGCTCCTTAACACGTTGAAACAAACGCCTTACCGTACGACCTATGTAACATGCGCCATAGACGCACTTGAAAGAGTAGATTATCATGGATGAGGTCAGTTTCAGCAGTTTGTCTTTCACCTGCATTCGCATCACCGGCAATGTAGAGAATACTGGTCTAATTTTTGTTGCGAGGAAGGTGGAATTTGCAACCGCTTTCAGTGATTGTACTAGGCTGTCGGTGTGAGTCCCCCTTAAATTGGATCCTTATAAATAGTTCTTTCTTGGGGACGCAGATGACGTTTTCCTTCTCCGGAGAGAGCCGAATGTTCTTATCGATAAACTTCTCCAGATAACCATTGTCCTGCAGCGTTTGCCGGATGAAGCGTAGTTCTTCATCCAGTGTGTCTGCTGAATAAATCTTCCGGGCTCTGAAGACTAGACACCGGACTAGATTGCATTTATATTTCACAGGAACGAAACTATGAAAGTTGGTATATAGGCCATTCCATGTTTTCTTTCTATGGATCTGTCTTCTTACTGATCCATCTTCTTTCCTAGACACGGCTACATCCAGAAAGGCCAATATGTTGTTCGCTTCAACCTCTGCAGTGGAGCATCGCCCGCGATGGTTAAGTCAAGGAAAAACCGGCTGTATCTCAAGCGCCATTGTGGGGCATCTCGTGAACACTCGGGCACAAGATCGAACAGGAGATAGCTTTCGATGTTGTTTATCACATCCCACGAAATCGATTGAGGGCGGCCCTAGTTGGGACCCTGGCTATGGCCGAGGCGATCACCATTCGCTTACTAGGCCCCAACCTGTGTTCCCGAAACCGACTGGTGCAGGCGCTCCTATTGCCTTGGCCGGGAGTAAAACCCAAGACAGAATATGACGTGTCACTTGACCCAAATGAGGAAAGGTCACACACCAACTAACACGCTGAACATTCCTACACACACACACACATGCATACACTTCCATTACTCTCTGCCTCAGGTCTTAAGATCTATAAATAATGTTGCAACACCTATGTGACTTTGGGTTGATAAATAAGATCGCGGTTTTTCCAACTCAGCAATGCTTATCGAAATTCAAACTTTTAACAGATTGATGGAGGAACTTTCCCGTCAAATGGGAGCAGAACATGGAATACAAGGGATTTATTTAAGAAACAGAACATCCTAACACTTTTTATACTGCAATCCGCAAACCGGGTATTTTTGAAACGGGGAGAAACGAGTAGCCTCTGAATTCCAGTGACGATACCGAGGCTACTTTTGGGTGTCCAGTTCCAACAAGACTTGGGTTTATTCCTGTTCAAAGGATTCACCAAATGGGGTCTTCATTTACGAAGAAACGGCGTGATCGCATCCTTTGCCCCCAGTAATCCACGTTAAACTCAATTTGTGTGTTCGACATACTGTAGCAATGGTGCAGTATTTTCCCGCAAACCTGATTTAGTCCTATGCAGAGCAAAGTAGGCGATCTAATCAGATGCCGGGAAGAACCGTGTACGACTATCCTGACCTCACCTCTGGTCTCATCAGCAGTCGTGTGAACTAAACGGATCAATTTGCAGGTTGTCGATTTCGGACCTCCCACGTAGAACCAAAGGATTCATACGAACTTGTCTATCGGCTATCTCTACTTCATTA